AGACTACCCACCCATTTTGGAGACCTTGGAGGGGGTGCTGGAAAGCGCTCCTTCCGGTGACTCCCTCGTTCTGCTGGGGGACTTTAACGCTCATGTGGGCAGCGACAGTGACACCTGGAGAGGTGTGGTTGGGAGGAATGCCCCCCTGATCTGAATTTGAGCGGGATTTTGTTATTGGACTTCTGTACTAGTCATGGGTTGTCCATAATGAACACCATGTTCACAGCAAACCCCCACAATGCGGCTCAAAAATTGAGGCCATCCCGGAAGTACCACAGATTGCAGTTCCACCCTCATCCACTAGGGGCTGGTGTCAGAAGCGAGCAAATCCTCATTGACTCCCATGTTAAAAATACCGATTTCACAGCAGAAATAAACATGTTTACAGCCTGGTACCAGAACATGTTTTTGGTTTAAATGATCTAGTTTACACTCATGACAACTCTGAGGGGGGTGAATGTTTTCTCACTCTTCTGTTTAAGCAGAGGTGGAAAGTAACGAATTACATTTACTCACTATAATGTAATTGAGTAGCTTTTTTGTATATTTATACTTTTTAAGTAGTTTTTAAAAGCTGTAGTTTTATTTTTACTTGAGTACGTTTCTGAAAAAGAATTGTAATTCGCTACATTTTAAATCATATCCGTTACCGAGTAAAAGTACATTATAGGCTTAATCCAGTAAAAATATTACGTGTAGCAGCGTCGGAACAGAAAGAGACACCTGCATGAGCGCCGCGTCTAAACCGTGGGGGGGTACACTTCCACTCCAAAACATCAGTTCAGTCCCTGTGATCCACTCGCTGGTTACCTCCTCTCTCCCTCCTCTCCTGTGGGTTGGAACCCGCACCTTCGTGCACCGGTGTGACATCATCAGAATTCTGCTCGGTTCGGTAGCCGGACTCGGTTCCGTGTTTGAATTGTGTTTCCTTACCGCTCCACACGGCAGCGACAAAATAACGTTTAGCGCTCATAACAAGCGGATTCTCAGCGCTCTGCTCATAAAACAGAAGACCTGCAGGCCTCTGTGAGTTAAAACATCCTGATACTGTTCAGGTGTAAACGTTGTGCTCCATCCCTGTGTTTGAACTCAGAAGATGCTTCTTGATGCCACAGATATGTGATGATTTAGCTTGTTTCTTTATTTTACTCCAGAATAAGAGATTAAAGTATTACTAAAGAAGAAGAAAATATCATTTCTATAGCGGCTCTCATGATAAAAATCATGAGGCGCTTCACAGAAGCAAAAAATGTAAAAATATTTAAAAAAACATTTGGAAAATGTTTTAAAATATATTTAAAATTAGCAAAAGATACGCAATTGCGATTGAAAAAATGTCAAGAAAGAGAGAGAGTGAACAGGAAAGAGGGAAATCAGTGGATCCTGAGGAAGGTGGAATAGGTGGGGAGAGCAGAATAAAGAGAGAGAGGTGAAGAAGGTCATACAAAAGCCAGCTTGAACAAGTGAGTCTTCAGCTGCTTTTTATTTTTTTTTATTTTATTTTATTTTATTTTTTTTTACCGTGTCCTGTCTGGCTGTGAAGCAAGCAGAATTGATGTCTGAATGCTGGTGACAAGCCTTACAGATTTATTCTCAGGTGGAGCATCAAAGCGTTTGCTTTTAATGTCACGCCTGATACTTAAAACTTTATTGTTATTGTTGTTGAATGCTTTGTAATTCCGACCAGACACGGAGACAGAGGTGAAAGAGAAAGGAAAAGAAAAGGTGGGGAGAGAGGGGGGGGTTCCACAAAAATAAACAAAAATGAACAAGAGTCTGCTTCTAGACCTGCAGAAAAAGAGACAAAAAAAAAACAAAGGGACACAAAAAAGGGACACAACAACAATACAACAAGATCTACCTATCACTGCGTCAACTTGATGAAAAGAAAATATATATATATATAATCAACATTGCTTAACTGAAGAATCATGATAATAAATCACAACGCATTAAGTGCCCACCATAGCCTTAAGACCTGTGTTGAACGTGCCCAAGCCCATACTTTTCAGAGCACCATGTGAGCACCTGTGTGTGTACACGCGCTTGTTTATGTAAGGTTTATCTATAGGAGCGTCCAATAGAGAGTGTGAGGGACCACAGATCCGCCCCCCAAAGATGCGCAGGAGACGGGGGGAGCTCCAAGTCCCAGAGATCCAGGCGCTGCCCCAGAACGCAGGAACCCCAAGGAGACTGCAACCAGGAAGGCCCCCGCCCCCCTCGAGAGGCACAGAGGATCGCCCCGGGGGGCCACAACCAGCAGCCGGCAGAGTCCCTGGAGACATCAGCGGCAAGCCCTCAGGCCTGCCCGCAGCCTCCCACCCCCTAGCCGGCCGAGCCCGGGACCCAGCGACCCGGGACCCAGGGGCGACCACCCCCGCCGGGGACCCAGCAGAGCCCAGGGACCCAGACCCCACCAGGCAGCCACCGGGATCTAACAGGCAGATGCCAAAATCTTAAACCCCCAGACCCGGTTGCCAAGAACACTCAGGCAGACCAAGGCACAAGCCCCCACACCAGGTGTGGCAGGGGGAGGGGGGACAGAGATCTATATCATCAAGAGAAGTTCCAGGAGAGGGGAGGACCCAAAGGCCCCACCTGACATATACAGTCATACACAAACACAGTCACACACTCCCTCCCTCATGCTCACACATGCACATACAACCCAAGACTTACAAAAATGCACGCCGGACACCCACTCATGCTCCCCATACACACCCTATTCACTCTGGTCCCGGTACTGCTGCACATGGGGTACAACCATCACCGGTAACCAGAGTTTGACCCTTTCTGCTGGGGTGCTGATGAGCAGGCTCCCCCGCCCAACGCTGAGCACAACAACCCACCACCCCAGACCCCAGCCAGACGGCCAGATCTCCCTCCTAGCCTCCAGCCCCAGGAAGCCTAGCAACAGCAGAGCTGCAATTCAGCTGCTTTTTAAAGGAGACCACTGAGTCCACTGATCTCAGGCTCAGGGGGAGAGAGGTCCAGAGTCTGGGGGCCACAGCAGCAGATGATCTGTCACCTTTGACCTTTAGCCTGGTGCTGCACAACCAGTAGGCTTTGATCACTGGACCTCAGGGACCTGCTGGGGGTGTAGGGACTAAGAAGATCACCAATGTAAGATGGTGCTTGTCCATGTAAGGCCCAATAGACCAGAACCAGGATCTTGAAATGAACCCTGAAGTTGACAAAAAAGCAGTTCAGTGTAGTTAAATTAGTCATGACGTGTGTGTGTGTGTGTGTGTGTGCGCGCGCACACACACACACATGAGCGTGTTGTGAACTGCTGTTGTGATTTTGCACTGATGTAGCCATCTTTACGCTGACAAAGATGTAACTAAGTGACTTTTACTTTGAGTACACTTTATTTACAATACTTTTTACTTGAGTAAAGATTTAGGCAAGTACTTTTACTTGTACTTGAGTAAAAAATTATCAAAGCATTGGTACTCGTAATTAAGTAGGAAATTTTAGTACTCTTTCCACCTCTCTGTTTAAGTGTATTAAAAGCCTAAAATTCTGTATAATTAATGAGCCTCAGACCCACGTGACCACAGAGCTAGCTCCATGGAAAGGCCTCAGTAGAGCCTCGGTCTGGCCTGGAAACTGCTCCGGGATTTTGAGTCTCTGTGTGTGTGTATTCTTGTTTGGATATTTTTAGTGCAATTGTTGGACAAAATGACTTGCTGTGGCATTAATTGCACTAATAGAGCGTCCAAGGAGTCTCCACTTCATTTATTTCGGTAAGTAAAATTATATTTATGTATTTTAGGTCACTGCCGAGCTGAGCTTAGATTTTAACATGTACTGTTTAACCATGAAATTTAAATGTAATAGGGTAAAACCCAGTGCATTTAACATGATGCTGCACTTTAGAAAATGGGTTGAAATATAACATGATGGTGGAGCTGGGTTCCGACTGTGGAGCTCTCGGGAGACCGATGTTTTCCACCCGTTTCTCCCCTCCCCGTAGCTCGGTGCATCTCTGTCTGATCGCGGCTTCTGTCTGCTGCGCGGCTGCTGGCTTGTGGAGCTCTGGGATGGAAACCTTTCCACCCGGTTCTCCCCAGCGGTCAGCCCGGCGTATCTCTGACTCAGAAGCTCTGGTGTTGTGCACAGTTAACTCCAGTTGTAACTAGGTTGCTACCTCCGTTAGCTTAGCTCCCACCTCCGCGTTAGCTTTGGGTTAGCTTTAGGTTAGCTTGTAGCTAGTTCGACCGGGTGTCGTCAGTTGATCCCAGCCTTACAGCCACACCCTCAGCTCCACCTCTCTTCCCTTTTGTGGAATTGTCTGGGCTTGACGGAACCTGTGACACGGTCAAAATGGCGGTGGTGGCCACCTCCCATTTAGCCTCAAAAACGTGTTATTGGATTCTATGGAAACCCATTGTCCAATATTTATATGTCAATGGTTCAGACATAAAGGTATCCATATGTGCTCTTGGCACCAGGATACCTTAGGCTCGATGATTGACTTTGTTGTTGTTCCATCTGAGCTGCGGCTGCATGTCTTGGACACTCGGGTGAAGAGAGGGGTGGAGCGGTCAACTGACCACTACCTGGTGATGAGTTTGCTCCGATGGTGGGGGAGGAAGCCGCTCAGACCAGGCAGGCCCAAACGTATCATGAGGGTCTGCTTGGAATGTCTGGCAGAGTCTTCTGTCAGAAGGAGCTTCAATTCCCAGCTCCAACAGATCTTCCAAAATGTTCCGGCGGAGGCGGGGGACATTGAGTCCGAATGGGCCCTGTTCCATGCCAAGAAAACTTGATACATGTCTACATTTTTCTGTGTTTATGCTGAAGCATGACTCCATTCTTCAACAATAACATTCATCAACAAGTACATTCATCTGGAGCTATTCAGACAGGTCAGTTTTATGATAAATACAACTTGAAGGCTAGAACTAAGGAACTCCATCTGATTTAATACTAAGTCTACCTCACCAGGTTCTGTTTCATCTGGGTCACATTACCGTGCAGCTTGTGGTTGTTACCTGGTTGATGTTAAGGTGGAACTGGACCTGGTAGTCGGAGCCCAGCAGAGTGCTCTTCAACAGGCCATCATGCAGGTGCTCAGGAAGAAGCAGTTCATTGGGAATCACGTGGTACAGAAACGAATCTGAGTCCTGAACACAAACAGCATGCCACATTTCCCATCAAGCCAAAATGGTCTCTTGCTGGTCTAAATTTCAGTCAAGCCTATGAAGTGAAAACTATTCATTCACTCCTACAGTGGGTATAGAAAATAATTCCCTTTGAAAAACTTCATTCTTTTTGCTTTACAGCCTTAAATGGAAGCACAAACCACAATGATTCCATGATGTGGTTCTTTTCCCAACACAGTAATAAAGATTTGTTTATACCTTCTTGCTGACAAGTTTCAGCCAACCCTACCCCTTCTTCAGATTATCGACGATATTGGTAGCGTGACTTCTGTCTCCTTTTATCTGCGGGCAGCAGAGGACAATGTCGCCCTTTGCTGCCTGTGCCCTCCTTGCCGAGGATCATATTCCATGAACGTCAAGTGTATACCCTCCTTTGTCCCTTTTCATTGTCTTTGGTCCATGTCTCCTTATGTCTTTGCAGGGGTGCCCAATCCTGGTCCTGGAGGGCTGGTATCCAGCAGTTTTTAGTCTTAACCCTGCTTCAACACACCTGAATTCAATCAGCGGGTGATTAGCAGGCTTCTGTAAAGCCTGATGAACTGCTTCACATGTGATTCAACCACTGAATCAAGTGTGTTGGAGCAGAGAAACTACAAAACCTGCTGGATACCGACCCTCCAGGACCAGGACTGGGCACCCCTTGTCTATTTCTTCTGTGATCCATCTTTTATATTTCTGTTGTTCGATGTTTGTGATCCATGTTTATTCCCAGTTTGTTATATGGTTTTCCCTTGTGCAGTGGTCCGTTACGGCTGAGTACTTTATAGTACTTTCTGCTTCTTGCTTTGCTGCTTTTGTGTCTTCGGCTTGTTTCTTTCTCACACTTTTTTTTTTCTATGTTCTGTTGCTCATGTGTTGAGTTGGCGTCCGGTTTCTCCTATGTATGTTTTCTTGCCTGGGATTTCGTGTATGACCTCACATTTTTGTCCTGCTGATATCTTGTCTTTTGGATATACTAGTCTGTTTCTGACCGTGTTGAAGGGTTTTGTTGGTGTGCTTGTTATATTTTCTTATTGCTGTTTTTATTTTTTATTAACTTTGTATGGAAGTGTTATCACTGGTTTCACTTCTTGTTTCTCTGGTTTTTTAGGTGTTTTACCTTATGAACCCTCATGGCCTCTGAGGGTTCATAAGGTAAGCCTTTGGAACAGGCTGCCAGAGGAAAATGGTCATGTAGAGCAGGCTCAGGACCCATCTTTTTAGCTTAGCTTTTACTTAGCATGTTTTAATTGATTGCACTTTATCACAGTTTTTTCCACATCTTTATTATTATATTTAATATATTGTTATTTATTATTAATGTACTTACCTATACTATTTGGGAGGGATTATCGTATGACTGCAACTAATGTTATTAAATTTGTGTGGGAGGGGCAGAAGTGAGGATTATGTAGGGTTATTTTAATCTGTAAAGCACTTTGAGCTGAGTCCTCTGTAGGAAAAGTGTTTTATAGATAAAGTTTGACAGATTTATTGGTTGGATCTGCTTTTCTTTTTGTTCTTACTTGTTGATTCCCTTTGTTTATTGCCCGTGTTGGGTATTTGCAGGTCTTTCAAGCGTTTTAACGTCCATAATACATATTGGTCTGTGTGTGTTGGTTTCCTGTGTTAATGTTCAGGGTCCCATCTCTGTCTGGTTATTTTCATGTAAATAATGGAGATAAACCCAGATGGAAGAGATGCCACTAACATTGGCGACACTGTGAAGAATGCTACAGAGTTAGCCAAACCTTTCCAGCAAAACAGTAAAAAGTTCAGAAGACAACCAAATAATGCAATTTAGATAACCAACACAAACTTAATTTAACAAAGATGTTCAAAGAAAAAACCCCAAAAACCAAATTGAGATTTTACCAGCTTTACTTATCAAATGCAACTTAAAATGATCAAAATTACAGTTCCGAATATATTTTCACAAACATAAAACAGGAATTACTGAACCAAATGGGTTTGAAGGAAGGCAGCTGGACTTCTTTGGTTTCTTGAAGATGTTTCACTTCTCATTCAATTCAATTCAATTCAAAAATACTTTATTAATCCCAGAGGGAAATTGATTGCTGTAGTAGCTCAGAATAATAATAATAATCAAGTCATCAAAGAGGTGTTGTATATTACAATGGCTGTTGGCAGGAAGGATCTCCAGTAGTGGTCAGTGTTGCAGCCAAACTGAAGAAGCCTCTGACTGAAGACACTCTTCTGTTGTCGGACAGTCTTGTGAAGAGAATGCTCAGGGTTGTCCATCATGTTCTTGATTCTCTGGAGAATCCTTCTTTGCATGAACTCCTCCAGCGGTTCCACAGTCGTCCCCAGAACAGAACCAGCCATTTTTATTAGGCTGTTGAGCCTTTTCAGGTCCCTGCTTCTGATGCTGCTACCCCAACAGACGATGGCTGAAGAGATTACACTCTCAACAACAGACTTGTAGAAGATCTGCAGCATCTTGCTACAGACATTGAAGGACCTAAGCGTCCTCAAGAAGTGCAGTCTGCTGTGTCCCTTCTTGTAAACGGCTTCGCTGTTCTTTCTCCAGTCCAGTCTGTTGTCCAGGTGAACTCCAAGGTATTTGTATTCCTCAACCACCTCCACTTCTTCTCCCATGATGGAAACAGTGTTCGACTCCACTCTTTCTTCTGAAGTCTAAAATCATCTCCTTTGTTTTGTTCACGTTCAAGGTCAGATGATTGTTTCCACACCATGCCACAAAGTGCTCCACCAGCTCTCTGTACTCAGCTTCCTGTCCATCTCTGATACACCCGACAACTGCAGAGTCATCTGAGTGTTTCTGTAGATGACAGGTCTCTGATTTGTACTGGAAGTCTGAGGTGTACATGGTGAAAAGGAATGGTGAGAGTACAGACCCCTGTGGTGCTCCAATGTTAATGATCACCTGGTTTGATGTGCAGTTCTTCAGCCTCACAAACTGTGGTCTGTTTGTCAGGTAGTCTTTAATCCAGGCGATAGTTGAGGCCCCCACCTGTGTCTTCTGGAGTTTCTGGCAAAGTACATCAGGCTGGATTGTGTTAAATGCACTGGAGACATCAAAGAACATGACCCTCACAGTGCTGCCTGCTTTGTCCAGATGACAGTGGATTGGTTGAAGCAGCTGGATGATGGCATCTTCAACTCCAACTCCATGGCGATAAGCAAACTGCAGCGGGTCCTGGTATGTTCTAGTTTGCTTATTCAGGTGGACCAACAGGAGTCTCTCCAGGACCTTCATGATGTGGGATGTCAGGGCAACCGGTCTGTTGTCGTCATTGACTGATGGGCGAGTTTTCTTTGGAACTGGAACAAGGCAGGATGTCTTCCACAGGACTGGAACCTTCTCCTGGGCCAGGCTGAGGTTGAAGAGGTGCTGCAGAATCCCACAGAGCTGCTCTGCACAGGCCTTCAGTACTCTGGGGCTGACACCATCTGGACCTGCAGCCTTGTTCCTGTTCAGTCTCTCCAGCTGCCTCTTCACCTGACTTCTAGAGACAGATAGGTGGGGGTGGTGGTGGTGGTGGGTGGGGGGGGGGGGGGGGGGGGTAAATGGGGCAGCAGCATCTCCTGACTTGGTTGAAGATGGATTTATAGAACCAGAAGAGTCCATGACTGTGTTAGAGGACAAAAGAGCTGGCGTGTGACAGGAAAATGTTGGATCAGAGGAGGATGGGATGTCTGATTGGCTGGGGACAGGCGAGAAGGATGCCGGGTTTGTTCCTGAACTGAACCTATTGAAGAACTTGTTCGGTTCATTGGCTGTATCCAGGCTGCCATCTGTGCAATCCTTCCTCTGCTTGAAGCCTGTGATCTACTTCATCCCTGACCAGACATCTCTGATATTGTTCCTCTGTAGGTTGTTCTCCAGCTTCTTCCTGTATGCCTCCTTGCTGTCTCTGATCTTGATCTTCAGTTGCTTCTGTATACTCCTCAATAATTCCCTGTCTCCCGCTTTGAAGGCACTTTTTTTTCTCATTAAGCAGATTCTTCTGTTCACTGGAGATCCAGGGTTTGTTATTAACAAAGCATCTCACCGTTCTGGTGGGTATGATATTGTCTACACAGAAGTTTATATAGTCAGTGACACATCCAGTCATGGCATTGATGTCCTCTTCATATCCTTGGCAGAGAGTCATCCAATCTGTGGTCTCAAAACAACTCTGCAGGGCTTCTTCAGCGTCCTGTGACCATTTTCTCACAGTTCTTCTTGTTACAGGTTGCCTCTGAACAAGTGGTTTGTATTCTGAGCAGAGAAAAAAAAAGATTGTGGTCTGATTGTCCTAGAGGAGGTTTTGTTTTGGACATGTATGCATTCTTTACATTTGCATAACACAGATCCAATGTCTTGTTTTCTCTGGTGGAGCAGCTGACAAACTGTTGAAATGTTGGAAGTGTAGCAGAGAGCGAGGCATGATTAAAATCACCAGATATAGCCACAAATGCATTGGGGTGCTGGGTTTGTAGCTTAGCGACAACGGAACTGATGGCATCACAGGCATTTTCAGCAATGGCTGAAGGTGGAATATAAATGGTTGCCAAGACAACACTGGTGAAGTCTCTTGGCAAATAACATGGGCGACAACTTACTGCCAAGAGTTCAACATCTGGGCTGCAGAGACGACATTTCACAGAAACATGACCTGGATGGCACCATCTGTCGTTGACAAGCACTGCCACTCCACCTCCTTTTCTTTTCCTGCTCCTCTTCAGATCTCTGTCTGTTCGTACAGTCAGGAATCCTGGCAGAGAGATGCTGGAATCGGGGATATGGTCCTGCAGCCACGTCTCACTGAAACACATAACACTGCACTGCCGATACTCTGGCTGAGTCCTTGATAGGGCTTGTAGTTCACCATCTTGTTGGCCAGTGATCTCACATTGCCCATTATGATCGATGGAAGAGATGGTTTGAATTTCCTCTTTCTATGTCTCCGTGTTGCTCCCGCTCTGCACCCTTGTTTCTTGCGTTTTAGCTCATTTGGGATTTGTGGCTTCAGTTGAGGTATTATTTCAGCCTTCCCAATGTTAATCAGCTGCTCCCGATTGTAAACCAGCTTGTTGTCATGGTTACGCATCATAACAAATGCTCAAAAAGTGAAAAAATAGCAGTAAAAATCCTCCAGGCTTCACAGCACCAGAAACAGAAAAGTAAAATGTCCACAAAAAAAAATACCGTTCCTCCCGAGAAACCAGAAGAAAAAATGTCCAAGAAAGGCAAAACTTACATATAGTCAACAGAGCTACTCCAACATGCAGCCACCCAGAGCAGCGCAGTTCTGGAATCTGAGGAGCTTTGTCAATTCTGCCTGCAGTATGGGAGAGGCAAGCTTATAAGCAGTAGCTGTCTGTTGTTGTTTAACTAGTGGAAACTACAAATGAATAATCCTCCTTTCTACCCTCTGATGAGCTGTTAGTTTCTATTGTATGGGAATTGTTGTGTTGCTTATGGCACTTCCACACTAGCATCGGCTCCACTCCACCTGGACCAAGTTGAGAGTGTTCTTTTTTAAGTAGCCTTGGATTTTCTTGCTCACAACCAGATGCCTTTTCAGCCCTCTTCTCGAGGAGGTCTGCTTGGAGCTGAACAGGTCCAACATGCCCACTCCTGACTGATTGGCCAGCTCAAAATCATGCCTACCATTAGGAGGAGCCTCCAACTGGCAGATAGTATCAGCCCGCAGGGGATTCCTGCATGCATGATTTATTATCATTCTGGATGCTGGGGACATGGATGTCATTTTGGGGGGGGGGGGGGGGGGGGGGGGACGGGGGGGTACATGCCCCCCCCCCCCCCACACACACACTTTTTCCAAGTCAAGTTTCGACCCCTGCACTTTTTACCATTCAAAAACAACATTACGCTATATTAAATTGACACTGGTTGAGCTCTAGGACCAAGCAGAAAACAACCGTTTGTGCTGAAGCCTGTTTCCCATCAGAACATACTGTAAAGAATGAGATTCAAAGCCCACCCCTATTTAAAGTGGGTTTTTCACGTTTGACATATGTAACGGTGTAAATAGTAAACATTATTTTGTTGTTAAATTCCCGTTAAACGTGGGACTGCAACTGTAAGTTCTGTTTTCTTTTGGACATTTTAGTTGTATATGCTCTTGTTGTGAAAATCCACAGCGGAAGTTGGGTTGTTTTTAGTGCCGTGTGCTTTGGTGCAATTGGTCAGTAGCAACAGAGCTTTTGCTGTGTCTGGGTGGAGAACTGTTTGCTGGAAACTCATGGTTGTGTTTGCAGGACCAGAGATGAGAACAGAGACAGTTACACATAGATAGCTTCTTTTACTCCTCTCTCAAACCATCTATCTTCTCTGTCCAGAATGTGGACTTGGTCATCCTCAAAGGTCCCTTTTCCTTCAGGTGAAGGTGAACTTCAGAGTCCTGACCTGAAGAGGTGGCTCTCCTGTGTTGTGCCATGCTCTTTTTTAATTGTTGTTTAGTTTCCCCGATGTAAACATCTGGACAGTCCTCACTACACTGGACTGCATAATATAATAGAATAGACTTTATTGATCCTACAGTGGGGAAATTCACTTGTTACAGCAGCACCAACACTTAAGAGAATAATTTGAAAAATAATAACAAAGGTACATGCTTATACACGTAGGCAGTAATCTATTATTGTAACCTTCGACCTCTAAAAACCACAAATAAAAAATAAATAAATGAAATAAATAAATACACAACGCCACAAAGCTTCTGTTTGGGTGTTTTGTCTTTTGGACAGACCCGTTTCTGTCTCTCCCATATTCCAGTCAGAATTGACAAAACATCTTTGTGACATCATATTATGTAGCCATGCACAACACAGGTTACTTTGGTACATGGATGTTGTTGTGACTGAAACCATCGGTTAAAGCCCTACCAAAACTGATGAGTTTGTCCTGCTGAGATGGTGCCTGACGGCCTCATCAGTTGGCAGAAGGAGAGTAAAATCCAAACCCTTCAGCCGGTCTGACAGGTTGTACATCTGTCATCACAACAAAAAAAACACTGTATATTAAAATGAATCTTAACTTGATACAAACACTAAGAAACGTGTCCTACCAGAGCATATCGCTGGATCAGACTGAAGTTGGAGGATGAATTCAGGAAAGCCATCAAGGTTGGAGGGTCAGGAGGGAGATCTGAACAGGATGGCACCATAATCTGACCAAAAAATATTTTATGTGAAGCCCATGGACCAGGCCAGATGGTTTGATGAAAGTAGTTAAAATACAGTTTAAAAAATCAGATCTGGTTGAAGGGAATCTTTAATTAAATAGAAAAAATACCACAAAACCAACATATACACAACATGTGTCATGGAAAATGGTGGGTGTTGTTGTAGGACCGAAAAGCAGTAAATACAGGAGGCAGCTCCTTAATGAATAAATAAGAAGGACACAAGAAACACAGGGAGAAAGGAACCAACAGAGAACTAGATCAATTGGATTTCTTGCAGAAATGCTGTTTGAATGCTGGATAGCTGAAACTGTAAGCTGAATCTGCTTAATAGCCGAACTGAAGCTGAAAGTAAGCAAAACTGTCAAAATGAGTTGAATGTTTTGAAAGGTTTAGAAGCAAAAAGCACCAAAAAGTGAATAAAGCACAAAAAGTAAGTGAAGAATGGAGAAAAAAAATGTTAAACAGCAGAAAACTGAAATCTGTGAACATCTGGACAGCAAAAATGTCTAAACACATGCTATTTGAGTAGGACTAGTTTAACTGTTTAATTTTTACATTTAGCTGAACTGTGAGATTAGCATCATGTGCTGAATTCAGAAACTGATTGCTGAAGCTGCTGAACAGCTGAAGTGAAGCTGAAACTAAGCTAAAATGTCAAAACGAGCTGAGTGTATCTACAGATTTAGAAGTAAAAATATCCAAAACGTGTAATAAAGCTCAAAATGTAGGTGAACAATGGAGAAAAAAATGCTAAACAACAGAAAACTGACATCTTTGAACATTGTTTAAAATAGTGATGACCAATTTCACATGACTCTGGTTCTACGTTAAAGTATGGTGATACAGCGGTGTCTTAAAATTCAAAAATGTTGTTGCTAAGCATGTTGCCATGGTGACGAAGAACACAATTACAAGTTCATGCAAGACTCCTGAAACCAAGCCCGTTGATTTGATGTATCATATGTGTGAGTGCATATTTCCATTTGGCCACGAGATGATTGAAACCTCTCAGCCAATCAGATAGCATTGATGGAGGGGGCATCCCGCATTCTGTCTGTTGTTAAAATCTCCACTATGCTGCTAGTTTTAAGTGTGGAGAGCTTAGAAAGATCAGCAACAGCAGTGTGTTATTGGCTCAGGATTACGCTTTTTACATTCATTTCGATGAGACTTGTTTGGAGTAATCCTTATGCACTTGTGTTGCCATAGTAACAGATGACAGGAATCTGCCTCAATATGGTGATGTTCAATGTCCCATGACCTTAAGTAATGTTTGCATTTTAAAGTATGTTGATACAGCAGTGTCTAAAATTTACAACAAGTAGTCATTAAGCCTGTTGCCATGGTAACTGATAACACATTTAAAACGTAATACAAGAATCTGGAGACCAAGCCGGTCGATTTGATGTATCATATGTGTGGGTGCTCAGCAGTATTGCCAGTTACCTTGAAATAGTAATCTGATTACTGACTACTGATTACTCCTTCCAAAAGTAACTTGGTTACTTTACTAATTCATTCATTTGAAAAGTAACTAAGTTAGATTATGAGTTACTTTATTAGTTACTTTCAGCATCTACCAAAACCACTCTCCACTGCCTCAACATGAAAGCTGCAACTGGTTTTGCCAACACTCTTTTTATTGCAAATGCTTTTTAACAGTAATGTCGTCAACGTATCTTCTTACATTTTAAGTTGAACTTAAAACCTATTGCCTGACATAATGCCTGTTTGTATAAAAATAAAATAAAAACAGTCTTTCTTGACCTCACTTAAAATAAATAGTATTCATAAAAAATAAAATACACAGAGCCAGCTCAGAGTGCACAATGAACCTTAATATTTTCATCTTTAGCGGATACAAACTCTAAATAGTGACTATATATCCAGCTAGAAAACGCACCTCTCACTCCTCCCGCCATTCAATTCAATTCAAGTTTATTTATAAAGCGCCAAATCACGACAAGAGTCTTCTCAAGGCACTTCACATAATAAACATTCCAGTTACGGTCAGTTCATTAAGCCAATCAGAAATAATGTTTCCTATATAAGAAACCCAGCAAATTGCATCAAGTCACTGACTAGTGTCAGTGTCTATACAGCAATCCTCATACTAAGCAAGCATGCAGCGACAGTGGAGAGGAAAACTCCCTTTTAACAGGAAGAAACCTCCAGAGAATCCTGGCTCAGTATAAGCAGCCATCCTCCACGACTCACTGGGGATCGAGAAGACAGAGCAGACACACACACACACACGCACGCATGCACACACGCACACACACACACACACACAAAGACAAGTAATGTGTCTATAGTTATATTGTGATGTCTTAGTAAATATTCTATTTGGTGAGAGATAAACTTTATTGTATTTATCCTAGTGAATCTATTATTAAACAGATAAACTAGTAGTAGCACATCCAACGTCAAGGAAAGCAAAAAGTTATTATCAGGAGAGGGAGAATGTATTAGTGGTTAGCAGCAGTGTGCTAGACGATGGCCCCCTCCATGAGGCCACCACAGCTCAGCAGAACATAATTGTAGCTTCTTCTGGGGAGAAAAACACTTAGAGAGAAAATAAAGTTAACAGCTGAAATAGCAGAAAATAATACAGTTAAAGAGCAGACTGTAGAAGAAGGTAGTAGAGTGTGAAAAGTGATCAGTGTGTCCTCCAGCAGTCTAAGCCTATAGCAGCATAACTACAGAGATAACTCTGGATAATCTATCCTATTTAGATGTAGGCATGTTGGAGGCAGGGCAAGGGAGAACCGTCTTTACCGACTGTACACTCCACCTCCCTCTACTCCCCCACTTGTCCAGATCTAGGCTAACATCAGATTTTAACCATAGGCCCTATCAAATAAAAATGTTTTAAGCCTTTTCTTAAAAGTAGACAAGGTGTCTGCCTCACGGACTAAAGCTGGGAGCTGGTTCCACAGGAGAGGAGCCTGATAACTAAAAGATCTGCCTCCCATCCTAAGTTTAGATATTCTGGGAACCACCAGTAGACCTGCAGTCTGAGAGCGAAGTGCTCTGTTAGGAACGTATGGAACAATCAGATCACTGATGTATGATGGAGCTTGATTATTAAGAGCTTTATATGTGAGAAGAAGGATCTTAAAATCTATTCTGAATTTAACAGGTAGCCAATGTAGGGAAGCTAATACAGGAGAGATATGATCTCTCTTTTTAATTCTCATCAGAACTCTAGCTGCAGCATTTTGGACAAGCTGAAGACTTTTAACTACATTCTGTGGACTTCCTGAGAGTAATGGATTACAGTAATCCAGTCTTGATGTAATAAATGCATGAACTAGTTTTTCAGCATCACTCCTGGAAAGGATGCTTCTAATCTTAGCAATATTCTGAAGGTGGAAAAAGGAAATCCTACAAACCTGTTTAACCTGGGATTTGAATTACATGTCCTGGTCGTTCCTTACTTTGTTCTAGGAGACTAATGTAATGCCATTCAGGTCAGGCGATTGACTAAGCAATTTCCTTTTCTGGATTTCTGGTCCAAAGATGAGAACTTCCGTCTTGTCTTGATTTAAAAGCAAAAAGTTCATGCTGTAGTACAAGGGGTCGGCAACCTTTTCCCATCAAAGAGCCATTATTACCCGTTTCCCACAGTAAAGAAAACACTGGGAGCCACAGCAGCCATGGCGTTGTGGGCGGGGCCTACCCTCAGACAGCCGAGAGCTGCTCTAACTGATCACAACAGGTGACAGCAACCAACACCAGTCGCTCATGTACCTTAAAGTTACCTTTCAACAGAAGATTATTAAAACAGTTTGTATAAAATTGACCCAGAACTTGTAGCCCGTCTGTGTCGACAGTACTTAGATATTTTTAGTGGTTTTAATGCTGAGCAGGTGACTCTTTTTGACGCGTCACATCCGTCTCCTTTTAAAACACGTTTAAACTGTTCAGAATACAAATCCAGGCTCTGTCTCCTTGGATTGTTGTAGTTCAACTTTGTGCTGAACTAAACTTTACAATAAACATTGTTGAAAAGGATCCGATAAATTTGTTTTTGCCTCATTTACAGAGATGGAGATAACGGCGCAGTGCGCGTGGCTCTGGTGGTAACCAAGCTTAATGTTCCTGTTTGCAACAGTCTTCACAAGAAGGCAAAATAGTTACATGACAGATTTGATCCTTTATTTTGACGGAGAAACCTCAAGGCTGCAGATGCGCTGATATTTTTATCGTTACGCACATCGCGGAGGTAGCTACATCAATTAAGAAAAGATTCCCATCAGAACGTCTGAGCTGGACACCGAGCTCCGCGCAGCTCGCTGTCAGCACACACACGAGGTGCTGACAGCGAGCTGAAGATGTGTAGATCGGGGGCTTGGAGAGTGTCAGAGAACCAGAACCAGAGCCGTGCGGCGAGGTTCCTCTCACTGAAGCGAGTGCTTCCCAAACCTTGTCCCTCAGCGAGACTCGTCACTTAGAAAATGTTCCCTGGTTATGAAACTTTGGCTGAATAGCGCTTGTTCCTGTTTCCAACGTGGCGACGCGTCCATGAGCCGTCTGAGGAAGAGTCCAGAATCTCACATCCTCTTCAGCTCAGACAGCTCCTATAGAGACGTCTGATTATGCACACGCAGGTGACCTGTCAGGACCTGGACCTGTTCAGGTTCACGCAGAACATCTTTACATTTAGAATTGGCATACAGATAAAAATGAATGCAGTAAAATAAAATATATTTTAATTAAATATTCATTAATTATTTTACAAGCGGAGATCTGCATCAGATGGATGAAAGAGTCGCACGCGACTCCAGAGTGCATTATGGGTAGCCAGCTTTCCAGTGTTATGTTCTTTATTGTGCGTTTTGTCGGGGTTGTATTGCAGGGTTGTGTTTGATGTTTTTAGTCATTCATTCAGTAACACGACTGTGCTTTTTTTGTTGGTTTCAACTTTGCACCACGACTGAGAGTTATATTCCAACAAATGGCATCGTGGTGCCGTTCTA